TAAGGAATCTGTTTCTCGTGGAATGCCTTACCATCAAAATCATCTGAAGTTGATTCTGATATCGTAGGATTTCCTTAATCATCAAAATTCGTATATTGGTGATGAAGCGTTTAGATAATTGGGAATGTTGTAAAGATTGATGCCCAAGACCCACCGCAGTCGACCTGACCTGACCTTGTCCAACGAAGCGAGAACACAGGTCAAAATTCCTTTCATTTTTGCCGAGCTTCCGTGGACAACCTCCCCCGCCCTAGGCAAGGATGCTTTCCGATAATCTGGCGACTCAGCGATTTCTCGACTGGCGTCCCCGAGCCTCTAACTGATTATCTGTATTATATAGTTCTGTGTAGAGCCTGACCAAGTGAGTTGCTTGCTGAATGGCAGCTGCGTCTCGTGCGACGTATGATAACCTTGCTCCTCCCTCTAAACCTCTCTCTCTCTCTCTCCGGCGGAATCATTCTATGCGTGCTGCGGGGCGTGTCTTCATCGTCCCTTTTATATCTACGGTGCATATTCCTCCTGAACAGTCACACTACCACTCAACCTACCTCATCCATATCTAATCCTATGAGCTACTCCTCACACGTGAGTTCCTATCTCTCGGTACATATCCACTACCAACCCAATCGACTCGCTAACGAATCCAATTGCAGTCCACTGATCGTCTTTCTCCTCTCACCCTCTCATCCTCCCTCTCCTTTCTCCCTGCTCTCTCACTCTATCAGTTACATCCCTTCCTTCTTTTTCCCCCTCTCTTTCACCTCACTTCTCCCCCCTTCCTCTCTCTCCTCTCTCCTCCTCCTCTCTCTCGTCTCTCTCTCTCTCTCCTCTCTCACTCTCTCTCTCTCTCTCTCTCTCTCTCTCTCTCTCTCTCTCTCTCTCTCTCTCCTCTACTATTCATCTCTCTTGTTCATTCTTTGTCTTTCATTCGAGCCCAATCTCTTGTTACATTATCTCTCCCTGCTTGTATTACCTCTCTCCTCTCTCTCTCCTCTCTCTCCTCTCTCTCTCCTCTCTTCTCCTCTCTCTCACTCTCTCTCTCTCTCTCTCTCTCGTCTCTCTCTCTCTTACCTCCCCATCTCCTCAAAATCCTTCGTCCCATCCTGTCCCTCATACGCTCCAATCCTTTCATCCATCCTACTCCTCTGCGCCCCCCCTTCCTCCCCTCCCCTTGCCGGCCCGGCTCGACGTCGCCGATCATTATTAAACGAGGCGTGCGCAGACGGCTCCCCGACTCCGATGGCTCGATGGAAAATCTATATCTTCACCCGACATTTTCTCACATACTATGGCGATTGAGTGTGCGATTCCCCGCCTATCTGCCAGCGTAAACCGTGTACCTCTACGGCGCGCTTGCTTCCAGCTAATATTGTTGAACATAATGTAATATACTCTAGACATCGGCGATGTAATGAGCTATTAAGTTTACTCCCGCCGAATTATAAATTTCTTTGTCGCCCGCCCTTTCACCTCCCACTGGTTGGTTCTTCCCGTCGCTGTTTTTCCTTCGCTTTTGCACACATGCACGCACACCACTATACACAGTACGCCAACACAAACACACACGCACAACCCACACACACACACACACACACACACAACACACGACGACACACACACACGAGGAGAGATGAGAGAGCAGACAGAGCAGAGGGAAGACAGAACAGACAGATACAGTAACAAACAGTTTAACTTCACAGCACGCCAGACAGACAACCAAAGCAGCATAACAAACAGTTAGCCAGCAAACAGAGACCGTTACAGAGCCAGTGGACCCCAAAGCTCCCCGATCCCTTTCTGCTCCACCCCAGATCATACCCCTCCACAGTGCCGACAGAAAAGTGCGGCAGTTGGGCCTTCCCGACGGCTGGCAGACGGAGACGACCTGTCTTTTCCCTCGCAAGGCTTATCGCGATGACCACTGGAGTCAAAGAGCAGAGCATCCTCCATTCCATCGATAACATTATATGACGAATAGGAGACACAAAGTCCCCGAGACACAAGTGGGAGATTTATGTGGATTTCTTGCGGCGATACATTTGGTTTCTTCTTTTTCTTATTTTTTCTTTAGTCTCCCTTTCTTTTTCTCTTTTTTTTTTTATATAACGAAAACTATCATCTGAGGAAAAGGGAAGCGCGAGATAAAGGAAGGAGATAGGAGAAAACAATGGAAAAGTTCCTATTAATCGTAAACTACCCTTGGCCTTCTTAGTCCACCTAAAACCCCCTTGGAATAATCCTTCTTCTGAGATCACTCTTAATTTCCCTTAGACCAACCTGAGTTCTGCTTCGGTATATCCCTAATCCCCCCCTTAGCTTCCTTAAAACCCCCCAAAACTGCCCTTAGAATATCCCTAGTTTTCCACAGTACTTTAAAAATCCCTTAAACTACCCTTAGCTGCCCTTAGATTATCATCATCTCCCTGACTCCTATTAGTTAATGTAAGACCACCCTTGGCTTCAGTTAAACCAACTCCCTTTAGAATACCCTTAACCCCTTAGTTCCGCATTAACCACCCTTACCTACCCTTAGACTACCCATAGCTTCCTTTAGGCCTTTCTTACCTTCCCTTGGACCAGCCTAAGTCTAACTTACCTCACCATCCATACATACCCCTTAAGAACATCCTTTCTTCCCCTTACACCATCCTTACCTCCCCTTAGCCCACTTATAGCTCCCCTTAGATCATCCTTACCTCCCCCAGACCTCCTTACCTCCCTTAGCCCACCCACAGCTCCCCTTAGGTCATCCTTACCTCCCCTTAGCCCACCCACAGCTCCCCTTAGCTTAGCCACCCACAGCTCCCCTTAGGTCATCCTTACCTCCCTTAGCCCACCCACAGTTCCCCTTAGACCACCCTCTGGTTCTCACGGGGGGGGGGGGTTGCTCGGTCTCGTACCAAGCACTGTTACCAGATTCCCTCGCCGTCGGCCGCTAAGTGTTACCATACACCTGCGTCTGGTATCCCGCCCGCGTTGTTACCAGATGCCAATGTTTGTTACGCGAATACAGACTGACCTTCGTGTAAGGAGAGACCGGAAGTAAAAGAGGAAGTTGGGAATTATTCAAAATGTCGGTATTTGTTCGAGAATTAATGTAAAACGAAAGAAAAAAAACTGCAGGGGTTTTGAAAAAAATCGCAGGTTGTTGTGGTGATCGGAATGTATATCCTGGTCTCTGGATATGTCGTAATCCGTTATTTGTTGTGTCTAAGTCCGTAATCCCTTCTCTGGATATTCGTTCAAGTTCGTTTTTTTTTCTGGAGATTCGTCGAAATTTGTAATCCGTTGTCTAGATATTCGTTTAAGTTCGTAATGCGCTTTCAAAATATTAATTTAAGCTCGTAATGCGTTTTCTGGATATTTCGTCTAAGTTCGTAATCCGTTTTCTGGTTATCTCGTCCAAGTTCTTTAAGCGTTTTCTTGATATTCGTCAAAGTTCGTAATCCGTTTTCTGAATGTTCCTTCCTGAACCTGCTAGTTATAACTGTAACAATCATATGGATATTTTTTCCCTTAAGAATATACATTCACTTATCATGAATAAAGAGTGGGGTATTTAATCTTATCTTCCCTTTCCTTATTAAGGGCAATTTCAGGTAGAAAGCCCCATTTAACGTGGGAAAGTCCTGTCACAACCGTCAAAGAGGCTTCACTGTTACCTCACTATCACGTCACAATCTCTCCCTGACGCCATGTTTGTTGTTCCTGTTTCCCTGACAGCCCTCGCACTCCTCCCTCGCCTTTGTCTGCTCGCTGTCTTGTGCTTTCGACCCCCGCCGGGAACAACAGCTATGCGGAAGTGTAGGGTTGGGTAGGCCGTGTGTGTGGGGTGGGGTAGGGTAAGTGTGGGGTGTGTGTGTGGGTGGGTATGGGGTGTGGGTGTGTGGGTGTGGTGGGTGGTGTGGTGGGTGGTGAGTGGGTGAGTGTGAGAGAGTGAGAGAGAGAGAGAGAGAGAGAGAGAGAGAGAGAGAGAGAGAGAGAGAGAGAGAGAGAGAGAGAGAGAGAGAGAGAGAGAGAGAGAGAGAGAGAGAGAGAGAGAGAGAGAGAGAGAGAGAGAGAGAGAGAGAGAGAGAGAGAGAGAGAGAGAGAGAGAGAGAGAGAGAGAGAGAGAGTGTGTGTGTGTGAGTGTGTGTGTGTGTGTGTGTGTGTGTGTGTGTGTGTGTGTGTGTGTGTGTGTGTGTGTGTGTGTGTGTGCGTGTTGCGTGCGTGTCTTTGTTTTCATTTCGACGTGTTCCCATGCGTGTATGCGCCCATACTCTATAGCTATCCGAACAAAGGCAACGCTTCATACCAGCACCACTCCTTGACATGAGAAATGCCCACGTCAATAACGGACGACCCAATCATATCATTCCCCGGTCAGCGCCTCGACAACCATCCCCGCTTTCCATGCTGTGAAAGACCATCAGATGCCCTTGGTTCAATTACAGGTTCTCTCGAGGGACTCATAGCGCACCCCGAGGAGGAGGAGGCCCAGGCGCACCTAATGACACACTCTCCTATCATGCTCAAGGTGAAAATCGTAAATCATACACTGCCGGCCAGTTTATATAAAAAAAGGGGTGTAATTTCAGTTTGTAAGTCTCGTGCACATAGCCTTACTATCGGCGAATGGAGCGCCTTCGTGTGACGGCGTACGAGTTAGCATCGTTCCCGGAAGATTAAAGATATGATAGGTTTTTGGCCTTTGATATAAGAAGTAATAACCATCTTCAGGTGCTGGAGAGAGATGCCAAGAGCCAGGGTGAGCGCTTTGGCCCGCGGCGCGACGGCCCACCGCGATACTCCTCGTGTGCGATGTCAGTCAAGATTCTCCACGCTTCGGCTGTTGTCAATTTCACAATTCTAAATTCCAGGCGCTGACTGGCCTGGTCTGTCTCTCTCTCTTTGTCCTCCGCCCCTTTCTTTATTTCTTCTCCCTCTCCACTTCCCTTCTCTTTCTTCCTCCACTCCCCCTCCCTCACACCCACAAAGATACAGAGACATAAATGACTTACCTTGAGTTCTGAAGGACCTCCAGGCTCTCCTTGGCACACGTCAGCTGCGCCTCTTGCTCCTGCATGGTGCTCTTCGCCTGCGCCAGCTCCTCCAGCGCCCCGGCGAGCCTCTCCTTGGTGTCCTCCAGTAGACTCCTGGTTTCCGCGACCTCCATCACGAGGGCGTGGCTGTCGTACTGCACCTTTTCGAGGGCGGTGTACGAGGCCTGCAGACTGAGCTCGGCCCCCTTCAGGTCCGCCTCCCGTTGCTGCAGCTCGCTGACCGTCCGCTGGAGGTCGGCCTGCGTCGCCTCCTGCTCCTCCCGCGCCGCCTGCAAGGCTTCATACGTGGCCTGAAGCTCAGCCTCCAAAGACAGGTCACCGGACACGAAGGCAGTGTTGTGGGCGTCCTTTGGAGAACCGGGAGGCTCCGGAAGGCGCGAAGCAGTCTCCTGCGCTTCCATTTTGCACTTGGGATCATCGGCCTGCAGCGCCTCCTGTGGCGCCTCCTTCGGTGCTTCCTGTGGCTGAGGAGCGACCTCTGCGACGGGAATCGAAGAGAGGTCGTTCCTTGGGCGACTCAGCTCCGTCAGTTGCCTCACCAAGTCGTCGATTGTGTCCTCCTCGTCGGTGAGGCACAAGTCGTGCTCCGACCCGCGGCGGGAGGGGGCGGAACTTCTCGCCATCTGCACTTGGAGCGACAAGTTTTCGGCGTCGGAATTCTGGAGAGCGACACGCATGTCCTCAATGACCTCACGAAGGCACTGAAGTTCCTGTTGTTGCAAAAGCACCTGTCGCTTCAGGAGACAAGTCTCGGAATACGACGGCTGAGGAGAGATGTTGGAGTTCCGATCGACGTGGGCGGGCTGCCGCGAGGTGCAGCAGGCGGACGCCGCCGTCGGACACTCTGCCGGCGGCCTCTTGGCGTCGCCTTCCAACTCCGAGTTTATTTCAGCGATGGACTTGGAGATCTTCTCGAGGATGTCATACCGCCGTTGAATGTGCACCACCGACGTCACGAGGCGCGGGTTGCAAGGGCGCCGAGACGCGAGCGGAGAGAGGGTCTCCGTCTGCGCCCCCTTCACGAAACACTCGCACAGCCGGTCGTGGAATTCGCTGAAGTTGAGATGGATGGGACACACTTTATCGCCCGGCACTTCGTTGTTTAGTAAGGAATTATCGAGGCTGCCATTAAGTGTCAGCTTCGACCCGAGACACTGACACCTTTGCTGACCTTTCCTCGGCAACCCTTCGCTCTCAGCTAGTCCGAGGACCTGGCACAGGGCATGAAAGTCCTCGATACCCACCCTGCCTGACCCTGAGCGATCCAAGAACCTGAACACTTCTTCTATGTACTGGTCGATACCTAGAGCTAACACGATCACTTCGTTCCTGGGAGATTCTGGCACTTCCAAGTTATAACTTAAGGCTGACTTTAACCACGAACCTCTCACAGCTTCAGGGGTCTTCTCTTTGTCATAGTATCTCTTAATGGTCGAAGTGTCGAACCTCAACTGTTTCTCACTTTTCACTTCAACGTGTTCGTCCTCACGCATGTCACTGCCATCTCCCTGCACCCTCACTTCCCCCTCCAGTTCCGTCTCCCCCTCCACGCCCCCCCTCTCGCCCGCGTCACTCGCACACACAGGGCCCTGAGACTCGAGGGCCGCCGCCACCCCGCACGAGGCCACCCGGTGATTGCTCGCATTCACGCCGAGGGCCAACCCGCCAGCGCCCGCCCTGGCACTGCTCTCGCCCGGCACTTGGCCAGCGACACCGGCGCAGTGGACGGGGAGGTTGACGTACCTGCCCAGGCGACCAGTCCTTTCCCTCGAGTCCTGCAGCCGAGTGGCAGCGCCGTCGTCGACCAGCAACCTCAGTCGGTCCAGGGTTTTTTCGTTTTCTTTTTCACCCGCGTACTTACTGTCGTAAAAGTCACTCCTGAAACTCGTGTACGTCCCGCGCCGGATGTCGCGCAAGTCCTCGGAGGTGTGCCAGTAATCCTCCGACGAATGGAGGCTCAGTCGCTCTGCCTGGAGGAGGGAGCAAGGGCCGCTGGCTTCCGTGGCGCCGCCTGCGACCTCCTTGGCCTTCGCCGCCTCTTTCGCCTTGGGCTGCTCCTTGTGGCGTGACCGCGCCCACCCCAGGAAGGGCGACCGCGGGGCACGCTCGCCCTTGCCGGGGCGAACCTCATCGTGGTCATCTGTTTTACTGTTCTCACATCTGGAGCGCGAACGAGATCTGGATTTCTCGGAGCGAGAGCGTGACCGGAAGGCCGCCTTCACGCCCGCGACCAGCCCGCGAGGACCACCCATGCCCGCGCCTGCCGACCGCCCGCTATCCATAACTGCGCGATCCCTGCGAAAGAAAACAAAACAATGACAGTCAAAGAATATCACACATCAGTATATAAATGCACACAGCATCCCTCGCAACACACGAAACCAAACCGCTCACACAATTCCTTCATAAAAACCTACCTGAAACCTACAAATGAAACACATCTTAATTTTAGCGAAATTTCCGGTAGATTCCGGCGCGCCCTTATTCCCGACGCGTCCCACACCTCAACCCTTGCCCGGAGAATTTGTCTTCCTTCTCGACCTCTAAGGATATATTGTTGGAATACTACACTAATGGCTTCTCGGAGGAGGAGTCGGTGCCCTCATCCGGTAGGGGTGATGCCGGGTCAAGTCAGGTCACTTGTTCGCCTGTGCCCTGAGGCGGGGGCGCGGGGGGTTCAGAATGGGTCACAGTTGCCACCGTGTCTGATGGGTTAATTACGAGCTGAAGACAGTCTCACGGTAGAGCTGGGGTTGTGGTGATGGTGGAATGGAATGTGAAGTCATTTTCTTTCTTTCTTCCTATCTATGTCTCTCTCTCTCTCTTCCTTTCATCTCTCTTCTCTCTATCTCTCCCTTCTCTCTCTCTCTCTTCTCTTGTCTCTCTCTCTCTCTCTCTCTCTCTCTCTCTCTCTCTCTCTCTCTCTCTCTCTCTCTCTCTCTCTCTCTCTCTCTCTCTCTCTCTCCTTACCTCTCTTTACTCCTCTCTCTCTCTTACCATCCACGCGCAATAGCCAACCGCCCTAGATACTACTCATCACATCCCTTGTAAGACAAATCATATTCAGACACCATATCAGTCATTGCCAATCCCCCCATTGCAATCCCCTTCCCCCCTTTCGCCTGAACACCTGCAGCGTCTTGTGCAACATCTTCGGATAGCAACCAATTGCCACAACGCAGTCCTGTTTTGCAGAGGAAACACACGTAAACTCCGATGCCGTCGATTGCCGAGCCATAACACATTCGCGAAGGTCAATCTATCTTGCTATGCGCGGAGTCAATCGTGCAACCTTATACCTATTGCACGCGGGAAATTTTAATAACTCGGGATTGTATTCCTCGTCTCAAGAGTAAATGTAAACAAAGCCGTTGGTGTGCTCGAAATTCTAATGATTTTTTCCCGTGCCTTTGTTATTGTCTTCTCCTTGAGGTCGTGTTGAAAAAACTGTTATTTTATTTCTATTTTAACGAACGTATATTCTTGAGAGAGGAAAAAAAATATGTAGATCATACCCTCCACGAGAGTTTATTGATTTCGTTGTATATTTATTAATTCACAAGAAAAAAACTGATTTTGTCCTACGATACACTATATTGTGTATCATCATCCTAAAAAAACGAAAAAAACAGAAAACCAAAAAGAAAGAAACAAGAAAAAGACAATTAAAGAAAAAAGAAAACGAAATTAAAAAAAGAGAAAGAACAGAAACATGAAAACGACAATAAATGAAAAATAAAGAAAAACACCCTAACGTGTCCGCGCGGCCTTCGAACCTCTTCACCTGGATAAACTTACAGCTCAGCCTCTATTACTTTCTTTTTTTCCTGACGCACCGTAATGAGTGGGACTTTTGTATTTTAGTATGACTTCGTTAAAATACTTAAGTATGCTTATACATACTTAATTACATAGACATGGACACTATACATATTACATACGTATATAATATATAATATATATATATATATATATATATATATATATATATATATATATATAATATATATTCGTGCATACATAAGCATTTTTTTGGGGTGTGGGGTGTGGGTGTGTGGGTGTGTGGGGTGTGTGCGTGTGTGCGTGAGTGGCAGCGCGCGTGTTCGTGTGTGTTTCGTGCGTGTGTACGAGCAGGTATATATCTGGACCCGTGTCATTCATTCTCGAAACCCACCACGCCAAACTCTCATTCATTCCGCACGGCGCCCAGAGAGTAAGCCAACGCTAGTATACAACAGGGTCTATAAAACAATATACAGGCCGATACCCAGCCTCTCCCTAATCCGAAGCCATCGGTTAGGACTACCCACAGCTGGGTCGTCATGAGGAAACATTTACGACGACCCCCAAAACCGGCACTTTTCACGGGGTAGGTCACGACTATCCTCATTTAGACCGTTGGACAGATGTAGTGTGTGAGGAAAAAATCAGGAAAGATGCGCCGGGTTTGTTTACACTGCGCCGCCTTAATTGCCGATCACCACCACGGCGCCAGCAGGGAGTTGGGGAAACGAAGGGAGAGGAAAAGGGGGAACATGTCTAAAAACGGAAAAGAAGATACGGAGAGAGGTCTATCCGTTGTCTGAGTCGGGAGGGAAAGAAATATTTTGCGCTTTTGATTTATATATATACATATATACATATACACATATACATACATAAATACATACACACGCACATACACACACATATATACTGCATATATGTATATATATGTGAGTGTGTGTGTGTATGTGTATATATATAAATTATTTTACTATCTGTTTGCTTGCCAGCCTGCTCGCCCCCCCCCCCTCTCTCTCTCTCTCTCTCTCTCTCTCTCTCTCTCTCTCTCTCTCTCTCTCTCTCTCTCTCTCTCTCTCTCTCTCTCTCTCTCTCTCTCTCTCTCTCTCTCTCTCTCTCTCTTCTTAACTTGATAAAACAATGGTGTTTACTGTATTCGAATTGTTTACTTAAATACTTTCAAAAAGCACATTATCATACAGCACCGTCATGGCCACCATCTATGTAATAAAGGGAAGGGGGGAAGGGAGGAGGGAGGAAGGGTTAAGATAGTGGTAAGTGGTTTTAACAGTCCCTTTAAAAAGACGTTTGTCACGAAGCTCTCTCGAAATACACATTGTATCTAATATTTTCTCAAGCTCAATATTCGTAGAATCCGTTTTATTTACCAGTAAACTGTATATCGCAATGTGTTCCAAAATCCACACAAATAAATAAAAAAGAAGTGTTTGTAATGTGTATAATTATGCATGTAGGCCTATATACACATGACCGCACTGCCTCTAACATTTAAATCACGTCGTTAGACATTATTAGCAACAAAAATACCAAGATGATGACAAGGAAAAATAGCCCTACGACAAGGGGCCATTCAGTACTATCTCTTGAGCGCTCAATAAACAGCTATAAATCCCCTAGCCGTGTACATCCAGCTTGCTAATCCATCAGCTGTAATCTCCCTGCGCGCTCATTGGTGCTCTCACCTCTCATACTTCCCTCGGTAAACTATGCGTGTTATCCTGAACTTCCATGAACGCTAGAACGTGAGCCTCATTAGGATGAAGTAAGCATCTCTTTCTATCGTCTAATTACCACTCGTCCGTCACCGATAACGTTTAATGGAGACGTTTAGAGCCTCTGCAGAGATGTACTGCGATTAGGAAGAGGAGGATTCTGCTCTTCCCTTCTTTCACCTTGTGCGAACCGTCTGTGAAAGTAGACCCGCGGACGAGAGGTTCCGGCAGGCCTATAGCCACGGCAGGGTACAGGGAAGGCGGGTCCCTCTGTGAGATCTCGTGTTATTGATGGCTTTACATGGCCCTCAAGTCCACCGCCCTGTTACCTGACCGCTGCGCCTCCTCTGCCCCGTTGTCTTTGTTGTTGTTGCGTCGGGACGTTTTGTCTTCGAAAGACTTCCCTGTATGTGTGATTTGTTTCGTTTGATTCTTTTGTGTAGCTGAAGGGCACCGTAAGAACTAAAGGCATTGCGAAATTCATGTCGAGGGAACCACGGAAGGGGGTAGGTAGGTACTGAATGGTTAGGGTAACTAGGCAAGGATTGATTGCCCATTTCTAATTTCTAATTTCTCGCATTTGTCACGTTACTCAAAGAGTTAACCCTTATCAGTTTCGCTATATGAGCACTTTCACTCGTTATTAGCATCAACATTTCTACTAGAATTACTGGTGACTGCGTGTACATCCCTTCTTTTCTTAAACATTTTCCAATTCCTTAGAACTCAAACCTGAATGATCTGCAGAACACTGATCAAATGTACTGTTTGTTTATTCAGCTCTTGGGTCCGTATGTTTTACCAAAAATGGACGTCAAGAAATGGGTGAAAATCTCTTTTGTTTTATCGAATATTCACGCACTCAGCCATCTGTTCGCCTGTCCACCACCTGTTTACCACAAAGGCGATAAGTGTTCTTACTCGACTCTCCTCCGACGGCTGTTTGCGGCCATGACTTGTCACAGTAGGGCACACAAGGATCAATCCATCAATAACTCCCGTGTTTGAGTAAGTCCTGGTCTCTCCAACACGTGCGAAGGAGAATCATTCCTCCACCAAACCTCAACTTCACCCCCCTCCCCGACTCCAACTTCATCCTCCCCCTTCCCCCTTCCCCTTCCCCGCCTCCTCAGCCCCCGAACCCCAAATAAGTATTAGGTCCGATTTACTTGTGAATGGAATGCCCCAACCCGGGTGGTTTTATGGCGCGTGTTATTATCAGGTATCGGAGGCACAAATACCCGACGCAGGTTCTGTGGCTGGTCTGGCGTTACTTTTTATGTTACTATTCCTGCCTACCTGATTTCCGTTATCGTAGTATCGTCCGTTGAGACTGATTTTCCCGAATGTTTATTTTGTTTTATTGCCTCGCCTAAAGAAGCTATCGATGCATTTTTATTGGAGAACGAAGACTGTTTTAAATACAAAATGGGTTATCTAATCCCGCGTTTTTTTAAACCAATCAATAATTCTCATTCCTGTACCCTTCGTCTATTTTTTTTTCTATCTGTTTCTTTCACATTTCCTTGTCTTTTATCAAGCATCATTTCTCATCCTTGAAGCTATCCCTCACTTCAGGCGCGTCATATCTCCACCTACCACGTTGGGCTACCTCGGGACAGAGACCAAGAACTACCTGGCTATATTTTCTATTTCCTACCCTTAAGATGTCGGCTTGATTAACAGTTATTTCCTGAGCTAATGGCGACAGCGGTTACCCATGCGGCGGCCTACCTAAAAAGGCAGCAATCGCCGTTCTTACCTGCATGTCACCTTGCC